GGAAAAAGACAATGTCTTTAAGTTCTGGCACAATGTGGGTCTGACCCCTTCCATGGCACATTCACTTAAAATTTACACTAATTTTTCATGCCCGTTTTGCAATTTTTTAAAACCGAAAGTGGAACATTACTTAAAATGTCCACATACTTTAGATTTAAGAAAAATAGTAGCCAAATTGCTTACAAAAGTAAACATTGACTCGCGAGCCTTCGACGACGCCTTCCTTCATGGGGTTTCGCATGCGGGGGGAAATGTAATTATCTTTTATGCATATAATATTATTTATAAAGCATTTGTCCACCGATTAAATAATTACTCTGGCAATTTTGATCTCATTTCCTCTTTCCGTCACCTTCTTTATGGACGGATTTTGACTGATTTTTATGCATGCAGTATAAATTCGAGCCTTTTTCCTAAATTTCAAAAAAATTGGGACAAATTTGCTATTTATAAAATTTCCAAGAATAAAATAAACATTAATTTAGGGTTTTGATGCAATTAACTTTCCTTTTTCTGCATGATTAACCAATACCTAGTCGTAAATTAGTATGTAAGATAAACCCACCTAGTTTTATAATGTGATAAGATTTTACTATATATTTGATACGTCGTTTGTTAAGAAAACCTTGTAATTATATTAATTAATGATATTCTATGAATTCTGAAATTGTCCAAAATTACTAAAATTGTAACATTTTAAGAGGCAAGAAGATACGGGAGACAAGCACTGGCTTAGTTCCTACCCATGACGGCCAAATTTTGTAAAGCCTTGTCGAGAAGACGTCGCCTCAATATTTTTATAATAAATGATATGTATTTGATGATTTAATTTGAATATTTGGAATAAATTCGTGCGTTATGTTAAAAAAAAAAATGTAAACAAATTTCCCTAGCAACATAAAAAATTTTCTTTAGCAACATAAAACAATTTCCTTAGCAACATGAAAAAATTCCCTAGCAACATAAAAAATATTCCTTACCAACATAAAAAAATTCCTTAGCAACATGAAAAAAATTCCTTAGCAACATGAAAAAAATTCCTTACCAACATAAAAAAATTCCTTGGCAACATAAAAAAATTTCCTTAGCAACATGAAAAAAATTCCTTAGCAACATAAAAAATATTCCTTACCAACATAAAAAAATTCCTTAGCAACATAAAAAATATTCCTTACCAACATCAAAAAAAAATCCTTATCAACATAAAAAAATGCCTTACCAACATAAAAAAATTCTTTAGCAACATAAACAAAATTCCTTACCAACATAAAAAAAATGCCTTACCAACATAAAAAAAATCCTTACCAACATAAAAAAAATGCCTTACCAACATAAAAAAAATCTTTAGCAACATAAACAAAATTCCTTACCAACATAAAAAAATACCTTAGCAACGTCAAAAAAATTTCCTTAGCAACATCAAAAAAATTTCCTTAGCAACGTAAAAAAATTTCCTTAGCAACATCAAAAAAATTTCCTTAGCAACGTAAAAAAAATTCCTTAGCAACATAAAAAAATTTCCTTCGCAACATAAAAAAAATCCTTAGCAACATAAAAAAAATCCTTAGCAACATTACAAAAATTCCTTAGCAACGTAAAAAAAATTCCTTAGCAACATGAAAAAACTTCCTGAGCAACCTGAAAAAATTTCCTTAGCAACATAATGAAATCTTCTTATCAACATTTAAAAAATTCCTTAGTAACGTTAAAAAAATAATTTCGTGCGGCCCGTCTTCAGGACGGGCTAGTCCAGTAATAACTATTTAAAGAACAAAAACTATGCAATTGGGACTTTGACACTTTGACTTTGACAAGTAAAAGTTCGACACGGATATAATTTCCTAGAGTGATAATATTCATACATATTTACATTTCATATTTATGAATTCTTATCGAGTTTATGATATCACAGGGTGGATATATATGCATGAAAATCGCTGAAACATGTATTAAATATTTAGCAAAAACAAATGCCAAAATATTTGCGAAATATTTACAAAAAACATAAAAATAAGAATTTTCGCAAAATTGGTACTTTTATGTTCAATCCTTTTAGTGGTCGTATTTCTTTGAGAAAAAAATCGTCTCGCTTCATTGAAATATTTAAAAACATGTAAGAGATTTCCACAATAGTGGAACTATTTACATTTCTGAAAACCTAGAAATGTGTGTCAATATGCGTCAATATTTTGAAATTTGTGTGATCTAAATATGCTATCTATGGAATACACCGGTAAAGTTTGACCGTCCGCCGCCATCAAATCGAGAAGTCGAAAACAAATACATATCCGCCCTCTGGAACTTATCATTTACCAAGATATTCCATCAATCTTTAAACTTTAAAAGAGTTTGAGACTTGTTTCATAATCTGTGTGAAAAGATGAGTTAGGAAATCTTGCTATTTACAATTATGTAAATGGTTCAAATACACAATTCTGTACATATGTAGCTGATCAATTCCAAAGCATGCACATGAATCTATTACACGGATATTGTTAGAAATCTATTGTATGTAAAATACAGACAACAACAACTCCTGTTTACAGGAAGAATTGAGCAAATATTGAACATGCACTCAATACATGTACATACATACGCCCACACAAAAGCTTTGTTTTTTCCTATAGTTTATGACAATATAATTTTCTCCCATGTCTATCACACTATTTGATGTATTTAGTCAAACTTAATTAATGGGCGTACTCACGACAACTTCTTATTTCGCATCGCAACTCATTTAGCAAACTTGCGAAGATCAAAATATTTCTGTCGTGAGGGGATTCGCAAAATATGAGTTCGCAAATCTCTCTAATCTCGCAAATCTACTGAAAACACCAACTTTGGTATTTCTTTATTTCGTTTCCATGGATTTCTTTAATTTCTCCTGCTGAGGATGGCGAGGATGAGTTTGCGAAGTAATTTTGCGAAATAAGAACATGCCCAATTGCTGGATAAATTTGCGAAAAAATCCCATGGTTTTTCAGCAAAATTTTTGCGAAATCTCGCATATCTCGCAAAACTTCGCAAGTTATGTTGCTATGCTCAATTTGCGAGATATGCGAGATATGCGAAGGTTGACGTGAGTACGCTCAATATTTGATACATATTGCGAAAACTGGCAAAAAGTCGGATCAGCAAAAATAACGGAATAACGGATTATGGCCGAAATAATTCCAGGGTCGAATTGTTTTTGGGAAAATTTCCAGACGCGTGGGTGCCTTGATTGGTTTCGTTTCTCAATTAATTGGCCTCGTCACCCGTGTCTAGACGCATTATTTTCATTATTTTTAGTGAAAGTAATTTCTCATTTACTTTGAGAAAATTGGGGATAAATTACTTATTAAATGTTTATTTATACTTGGTAAAATAGCACAATTTCTTTAATATCGTTATTGACACGGTATACACTATTTTTGGAAATAAGCATGGAAATTTACTTTTCCATTTATTTTGAGAAAATTGTAACAAATTATGAAAACGTGTATTTATATTTGGACAATTATTTAACTACACTCTTTGAAATGGGGTTACGATTATAACCAAAAAGTAAACGCATATGACTCTACCGCTGTGGTTATGAATTTGTCACCAACTGGTCATAAATTTATTAGCTCTGGTGACAATTTAATAACAAGTCGGTGAAACTTCATAATTAGTCGGTGAAAATTGTAACCACACGACGATGACAAATTTACAACCACGGCGGTAGAGTCACATTCGTTTACTTTTTGGTTATAATCGTAACCCCATTTATAAGAGTATATTTCTTTAATATCGTTATTGACAGGTTACCAAATATTTTTGGAAATAAGTATGGAAATTTAATTCTACATTTATTTTGAGAAAATTGTGACAAATTATGAAAACGTTACTAATACTTCGAAAATTTGTGATTTCTTTAACATCATTATTTGACACGATTTACACGATCTTCAAGATCACTCTAGTATCGTTCAACTTTATTCAAAAAAATTTAATGGCATTCAACTTTGGCTAAAATCCAATATTTGTTTGAGTCAATGTGGCAGATTTATCAGGCTTAAACCTCTTATCTTGTGTGATCTTTATACATATTCTTCCAATCTTTTCCACACATCAAGGGTTATGTACATCCGATAATTATAGGTTTATAGTGTGTGCACCTACACTGTCATAAAAATTAAGCACCATTTATTCTGAAAAATGGGAATTTTGCAACATTTTTAGCTTTTCCACATCTGTTTATCTCCATCTCTCTCTTTTTCCAAGTTGAATTTGTTCTCATAAAAACGTGCTTTAAAACAGTTCCCCGTTTTAAGGGGGAATTGGATGACGATTCGATATGCCATAGATTTTAAATCTCACTCCACCCCAATTTAATCTAGTTAAATGCAAATTTTTAAAATGGCAGCAATTTCATTTTTTTCAAATAAATTAAACTTTTCATACTTTTATGCAAAGTTAATTTTTTCTACTGCAAAACTACTAATTAAAAAAATACTAATTCATTTGGTATTTTTAACAATAAGTTTATTAAGTAAGGAGATTTTTTCATTTTTTTCTAAAATTAAGAATTTTGGATTCCTTTGCCAAACAAAACCCAATTGACCTAGAAGTATTATTTTTTGCAAACAATTTTCCAAAATTTATTATTTGGCGTTTAACTTGGAAAATAAATTAAGGTGAGACAGCGAATTTTTAGTATGACAGAAACTCTGAAGTTGAAAAGATTAGTTTATATATTTTTCATTTTTCCACAATAAATTTCCGTAAAAATGAATTCGCGAACTTTTTCAAACTGATAGTTTTACTGCAAAACTTTTGCAATACCAAAAATTGACTTTACATTATCATATGAAAAGTTGTATTTTTTATTTCAGAATTCATGAAATTTAGGCCATTTAAGAAATTTACATTTAAAGACATTGCACAGGGGTAGAATGAGATTTAAAATCTATGTCACATCAAATCCTCATCTAATACCACCTTAAGTCAGCCATCCTTATTAACATGCAAGAAAATGAAATGAAAAAACCTTTGATGTGATATCAAATGCATCCCGCACACGTTCTTTTTTTCTGTAAATCTTTCACTGTACCGAAACAAAAATAAAATGGAGGACTACTCCTTCTAAAAAGTGTACAAATTTTCATATTATTTAACTCCACATAAGTTTTTCAAAATTTCAAAATATGAAGGTTAAACTACAAGATAGTCATTATCTTCTCAGCAAATTATACTTCTCGACCATTTTTATAACTTTGTTTGGCATTAGTTTCACTCATTCAGCCTGCCACACTTATCACTACACTCCAGGTAATAAAAAATCTTAATTTTATCATAATTTTGAAAAAAATGAGGGAGAAATTCTCGTTTTTACAACATTTTTCATGAATATTGTATCACATTTTTCATAAATACTGTACCACATTTTTCTAAAATATGCAACACATATTTCAAAATTTTCGGAGATGTATTCGTCCTTACAAAATTGCAATTTTTTTTTAAATTTGAATAATAGTTTATACAAAAATGCACGAAAGATGATATTTTCTAACATTTTTATTTATTTCAGAATTTGCAAAAAAGTGCGAGAAATTAACATTTGTGCATCCTTTTTCAAAAATTTTATACCATATTTTTCTCCAATATGCGACACTTAGGTCAAAATTCTCAGTAATATATTCGTTCTTAGAAAATTATAATCTTACCTTCATACTCGAATAGTTGTTGGCAAAAATACCCTAAAACTCATATTTTTAAACCATATTTTTAATAAATATTTCATAAATAGGTAGATGAAGATGCAAGATGAAGACGCCAAAATATATTTTGTATTTAAAATTTCATAATCTTAATATGATAAACATCATTTTTTTGGATTGGACAATTTATGGATAAAAAAGTTCACTATGTTCAAAAATCTTGGAAACATTTAAAATAAATTTTTCAAAATTTGTCATAAATAAATACTTATTCATCTTCACTTTTCACAAAATTACAATTTTTGTTGATACTCAAATAATTTTTTTGCTAAAAATGCCGGTACATAAATTTATATTTTTTTAACACATTTAACCTTTTTTTAAGTAGTAAAAAATCTGTTTTTTTCTATCGTTCAATTTATTTCAATAATTTTTTCGTTTCACATTCGAACGGAGAGAAATAAACAATCACATTTTAAGCAATTCTAATTCACCGGAATGTCATTTTTGTGTGTTAAACTCTTCTAATTTTTGAAAATTTGTACCCAAGGTACTATCCCCAAAGAAAAATCGTTCGAAATTTTCGTGGAAATCTAACCCTTTGCAAGACAAGCTCAAAATCCTATACTTTGACAAAGTATTCTACCCATATCTTGGTTTTGAAGTAAATAAATTCTATATTTCTTAGCATTTAATTTACTTCAATAGTTTCGTCTTACACTCAATCAAAGGAAAATATGTATCTATCATATTTTAGGAAATTAAAATCCACCAGAATTTTTTTGGGGTGTTAAACTCTTAATTTTTGAAAACTTGTATCTATCCACGTTACGTTCACCCATACCTGTTCACAAATTTAGTTTTCATTCAAAACTCAGTCATGACGATTTCTGATTGACGATTTTCATTCACATTCAGCCATTTTCGTTCAAATTTATTTCATTTTACTTCATCCGACTTCATTTCTTACTTTGCCCCATGTATTAAGCATATGGTGAAAAATGATATGAGTGAGAAATCTTTCACCTACAGTCATTCATCTGAAATGACGGAATCTTTCAATCATTTTCATTCAAATGGCAGGAAATTCATTTTCATTCACCATCATAATCAATCACGTGAATGAAAGTGAACAGGTATGAATACAGAGAGCAGGTCGTTTGTGCACCTATTACATTTTAAACTATTAAAATTCATCAGAATTTCTTTTCTGGTGTCAAACTCTACCAGGTTATTTACACTTATAACGAAGTTACTTTCTCTGTGCAATAATAGTTTAAAAATTTTCGTCCTTTAATGGAACAAAATTATTTAAATTAGATTTTGTTTGATGCATTTTGAAATAATAAAATTTGAAAATCGACATGGCAAAAATACCTCGCATTTCTTGCAGAATCAATTCATCAGAATTTCTTTTTCGGTATCAAACCTAGCAATTTTTGAAAACTTGTACCGATGTTACTTTCTCCATGTAAAAAAAATGTTTAGAAATTTTGGTTTTTGTAGGGAACAAAATTATTCAAATCAGGTTTTGTTTGGTACATTTTGAAATAACCAATGTGACAATCTGCATAACAAGACCACTTTTCCTGCAAAACATGCCCCCACCGCTCCAAACTTTTATGCAGAGTAAAATATGCAATTTTTTCTGTAGAAACTTATTTCTACTGAAACACGCAGAAATTTTTCACGCGAAAACTCGGATGAATATTTTCCTCCCTAAAATTATATCCCGAACAAATTTTGCAGAATTTTACAAATGTTTGCATCCCCAAATCTACCAAATTTTTGACATACATTTCAATTTTCATAATAATTTTTCTATTCACTGATAATTATTCGATTTATTTCAAAAATTTCGTTTCACACTCAAAAATTGGAAAAACCTTGACATACCTCATTATATTTGTATTAATAAAAATTCACCTAATTTTATTTTCTGGTGTCAAACTCTTGCTATATACTTTACAAAATTTATGTTATATCGTTTTGAAATTTTTAAATAAAAATATTTTGAAAAAAAAAATTTTTTTTGTGTACGGAACAAACTTATTCAGGTTAGATTTTCATTCATTCTAAAACAATCTGCACAAATTTATACGTGCCAAAAAATGATTAATTTTTCCGAAAAATATGTCTCCCTAAATTCTTTTCCGTGTAAAATATGCAGGATTTTTTTTTCACCTAAAATTATCTCCCGAATAAATTTCGCAAAATAATTTCAGATCTTTTTCTCTCAAATTCTGCTAATTTAAGACACTTTTAATATTTTCAGTTACGTCAAAAAATAATTTTGTTTATACTCAAATAACAAATTTCAGGAAAATAATTTTCTCAATTCAATGCACATTTTTTTTAATTAACGACTTCACATAAATAAGATTCAAAATTTTTATTTTGCAAAAAATAAAAAATAAAATACATTTCTTTATTGATAAAAAATTTCACTTGGAAAAAACTTGTTTAAATTTAGAAAAATTCAATTTCTTGAAGTAAAAGCTTGGAAAATATGAAATATAAAATAACCTTTCACAATTTTTCATAATTATAAATTCGTCCTCAGAAATGTAGAATTTTTGTGGATATAAAATGTACATTTTTAAACTAACGAGCTCACATATAAAATTCAAAATGTTTTATTTTGCAAAACATTAAAGTTAGCTCATAAATTTTTATCGATAAAAAATTCATTTAAAAAAATGTTCAGATTTGTAGGATGAAAACGCCGAAATATATTTTTATGCACAGTTATTACATCCAATACTACCATATTCCTTAAAAAATTCTTTTTCTTTAAAAGTTTGGGTTAAAAAAATCTATCTTATTTTCTTGAAGTACAGATAAAGCTTTGGAAATAAAAATTATAAAATAAATATTTCACAATTTTTGCATTATATACTCGTCCTCTGAAAATTATTATATTGCAAAAATATCTCGTTGTTTCAAAAATATGACGATCATATTTCCATACCTCTTCAAAAATTTGCTTTTCATTCAAAATTCAGTCATTCTGATTTCTGAGTGCGGATTTTCATTCACATTTTCTTTCAAGCTCATTTCGTTTCCCTTCATCTGACTTAATTTCTTACTTCGCCCCACGTATGAAGCATAGGGTGAAAAATGAAATGAGTGAAAAATCCTTTCATTCATAGTCACTCATCTCAAATGACGGAATCTTTCATTCATTTTCATTCAAATCACAGGAAATTCATTTTCATTCTCTATCATAATCAATCACGTGAATGAAAGTGAACAGGTATGAATAAATACATAGCGAAGGTCGGCGGTCCATCTATAACATTTTAAAATATTAAAATTCATCAAAATTTCTTTTTCGATACCAAACTCTACCAGGTTTTTTAAACTTGTAACGATATTACTTTCTCCGTGCAAAAATTGTTTAGAAATTTTCGTTTTTGTACGGAAAAAAATTATTCAGATTATGTTTTCATTGATGCATTTCGAAATAATCAAAAATTGAAATAGACATTCCAAAAAAATACTAATTTCGCATTTCCTACAGAATCGATTCATCAAAATTTCTTTTTCGATATCAAACCTAGCAATTTTTGAAAAATTTCCGTTTTTGTATGGAACAAAATTATTTAGATTAGATTAGGTCGTGTTTGATGCATTTTGAAAAAAAAACAATTTGGAAATATATACGCCGAAAAAAACATTTCCACTTTTTTTTTAAAACGTAACCGCATAAAATTTTTTAGAAAAATAAAACTACATTTAAAAAACAGCATTCTTCGGTGAGGGTGCGACTAAAAACTTTTAAACAAGAGGATTGAACAAATTTTAAAATTTAATATTACCAACTTTTGCCTCACCGTGGGCATTTATTTAAATGCAAAATCATTTTGGACCCACGGTGAGGCAAAAGTTGGTAATATTAAATTTTAAAATTTGTTCAATCCTCTTGTTTAAAAGTTTTTAGTCGCACCCTCACCGAAGAATGCCGTTTTTTAAATGTAGTTTTATTTTCTGGTTTTAGGGTTGGAATTTTTTTTGTTGGTTACCAATAGCAATAAGATAGGTAAGGTGCAATTATTATATGCGATTAAGCAGCTTAAACGGCTGCAGATACCTCCATCAAAAGTTTCTCATTTTTCAACCGATTTTGCTCGAACGTATCTTAAATGGTGCGTAATCAGTGCCCGCACAATAAAATCAATATCCGACATGATCATTGTATGGTAAAATTGAATTTCCGGTTCATTTTAAAGTTTCAAAGGTCCTAACATTCTTGCAATATTAGACTTTCATAACGAGAAAGATGAAAAGACACTAGATTTCGTAATTGTCTGATTTTTTTGTTTCAACAATTTTTCACTGAATGCAACCGTTCGAGCTGTGGCCGTGGCGGAAGTTTTAGGACCCTGTCTTGAAAGCATACCTTGGCTTCGCCGTAACCATGCGCTTTTCTGTCGTGAGGGTAGCCCTTGGTTACTTTCCTCACCTCAGAATAAAATAGGAATTTTTTTCTGTAGAAATTGTCTTTTGAAACACAAAATTCTTTCATGCAAAAATCATCCAGTGATTATTTTTCTCGCTAAAATTATATCCCGACCAGATTTAAAAAAAATGTTTTCTTCCCCAAAATCT